TGCTGCTGAGGTTAGTGCACTTTATGGAAAAAGATCCCTGGTGAGGCCAGCAGAGGGCAAGCTAAGCTCATGTAATATCCCTTGTCTGCAGTGGCAGCACCCCCTGCTCCCTGAACCTCCCGGCTTTGGGATGCTTTGCAGACCAGCTCCTCCCTGGCCGGAGGATACACCCCAGCCCCTCTTTGCCCTTTCTCTATCTTTGTCCCTTGACATTTCTGCATTTGGTTCTTGTCCCCCTCCTTTCCACTTGTTTCCCCATGTCCCTGCTCTTCTCTCTTCCTTACTTCTAAAGCTTGAGGCTGGTACTGGTCTGAAAGGCCTATTCCACAGGCTTCCCCTTGTGCTGAGCTCCTTAGAGCCTTGAGCAAAGAGGCTCCCATGCAGAGTGCATTCCCTCAGGCCCTTCACAAGAAAAAGCCTTTTCCAGCTTTTCACTCTGCTTCCCCTTCTGACAACATTTGGCCCTGGGCCTGTGAAACCTCACTCACCCAACCCATTTGTTGCTGTATTGGTTGCCCCCTACCCCCTGCTGTCAGTCATATTCCCAGGGGGATATGGGAGGGTGGTTGAGGGTTTAGGGAGAACAACAAAGTTCAGTAATCACTTTCTAGAGGCCAAATGCAGCACCGGAGTCAGCTTTGCTGCCAGAAAAGCTCCCAGGACTAGAGGTGTAACTTCTGGGGATGCTTGACTCATGGGGTAAGTTCACAGTATCACCAAGTTGACTGCAGTCCCCAAGCCATGTCAGGGCAGGGCAGAGGTGCTGAACTCCTAGCAGCTGTTCCACTGGCTCTCATTTGTTTACCAGCGTTCCTGCACCATTCACTGCCCCCTCCTCTGCTGTCCCCACATGCCCAGTTGGAGATCTGTGGCAACGATCCTGATGGCAGGGCTGGACACACAGGTTGAGGGAATCAAGGACACGGGGAGCAGAAGACAGCTTGTTTCTGAACTGGGGATGTCACTTTTGCTCACTGACGAATCATGTGTTTCCCTCCTTTGGTAACGGCAGGTACCATATTTTGCAGGTGGAGTGTGTGAAGGTATCTATCTGGTAATGGTGCAGCTGGGGCTTGTGCAGGTTCTGCATGGCAGGGGTGTCTGGTATGTTGTACTGGTGGCAACAGAGGATGATTGTGCCCATGCTCATTGCACAGAGAACACAGGACAAATTTGTTCACTACAGGCTCGGTGCAGGTCTCTGAGCTCTCTGCTCTTGTCCATCATGCTGTCAGCCCAGGCCCTGCCCTGGCCCTGCAGGGGTAGTTGATCCTTCCAGCAGTCTTCAATACATGAGATGCTCACAGACCACATGCAGTCTTTGCTCCTGGTCTCCAACTCTAACACACGCATTGGAGAGCAAAGTGCCAACTAGGTGCATGCTCAGAACTGGGCCTCAGAGCTAGTGAGCAGTGAGCTAACTGCAGACATGAAGATGAGTAGAACCCAAGTGCCATGCTCCCTCCTGTACCCCACCCCCTTTGCTGCCTGGGGAACTATTCCCATGGGAGGCTGGGGTTAGTGGGCACGTGAAGTGAAACCTCAGGGTGTATCATGAAGGCCTGAGTGATGACACTATCATCAGCAGGCCTGCAGAACCACTGAGGATTCACTGTTCTATAGTTTGCTTTCTGTGGGAATCCCTGGGTCCTTATTAACATCTCTCAGGCAGTCCAGCCTAGCGCTTAAGCCATTTGCCATAGTCTGCAAACACCACGGACCAGGCATGACAGTAACATGGGTGGCATCAACATGGACTGCTTACTTAACAAGAACTGCTGCTCTAGAGCCTGTCATGGGATGCGGCTTTAATTCTAGGTTGAGTCTTAAATTTTTCACTTGGTCCCTCCAGTGTATCTGGCCCCTGTTTTCCCTCCTTTTCTCTTCTCACATGGTTCTGGGGGAAGAAAACTCTAAGAAAAAAAATAGAAGGCTTTCAACAGAGGTGTCTAGTGTCTCAGCACTGCCCATCTCTGTTGCTCAGCCTCAATACATGTTCTGAGCAGAACCCACCTTTGCACTAGAAAAGAGCTGCAGTCATTATCATCCCAGGTCTGGGGGGAGAATTTTCATCCTTTGGGTCCATCAGAATGTCTCGCTGATGCCTCCACCTTACCCTGGGCATCCTTTTGTTTCTGATCCTGCATTGTGGTTTCAGCCTCATCAAGAATGTCCCCCTTCACACTCACACCTCTATCATGATTTCAGCCTTTGATGGGAGTGCTGTATCTATGCTCCTCCTACCTGCTTTTGGAATGTAATGGGAACTCTGTAGGTTTTCATCAAGATCTTTATCTTTAGCACCTCCATGTGGAACAAACTGCATGCCTTGTTTTCCTAGCCTGTATTTCACTGAATGTCTGATGTACTTGCTTCATCACAGTGTGATGAAAACCAAGCTGGGAAGGCAGATGAGAGTTCACTGACTTTTATGGGCATATACCTGATACTGGTGAAAGACCCACTGGCTCCTGCCTCTAGGAACCATGGGATAAGCCAAGTGAGAAGAAAGAGAAGGCTGGTCTAGACTAGGGCAGCACAGTGCCTTGAAACTCATCTTTTCAGTTCTCAGAACCCCCCTGGCCCCCCACCCCCACTGACAATTCTGCCTGTATTTACCCATGGTCATGTATCTGCTGCTGGGATGGATGACATACCTGCAGATACAACCCTTCACTATTCCAGTTAGCTTTCCAAAAAACATTTCTTTGGCTGAGGACATAAGGGAAGCCCAGTGCTCCTTCTTCCGCTGTTAGCACTGTAGCTGCTTCAGTTTACTTGTTCTGAGGAATCCACTAGGTGGCTACTACTGCATGTGAATTTAGCATGGCTTATCCAGGGTGGTTTTGGAAACAGTCTGACGGAGATGAACTTATAGTGGGTGGTGGGGTGAGATGTGCAGAGTTGTGGGAGGCTTCTGTACACTGAAGCAAATTATATGTGCATATAACCCAGGGAGCTGGCAGTTCCAGCAGTGCTCTGGCATCTTGAATGCACTAACTCCTACTCATGCTACCCATATACCATGTCATGTGACAGGCCTGCACCTGGCTTTTGGGGATGTAGCAGTTCCCTAGAGCCATCTGGGCAAAGCTGGGACCGGCAGTGGGACAGGGAAGAGCTGTGAGTTCTACCACTGATAGTAAGACTTCCATCTACAAGCCCTAATAAATAAATGATCCAGATCCAGGTTTTCCATTGATCTCCTTTTCCTCACACTAATGCTGATTAAATTAGTTTCACCTTTTCCTGCATAGGAATCCTGGATTAATTTCACAGGTGACCTGGGGACTAGTTGGGGGGATGGAATAAAACCTGGATGTGGATCTGCTAGAGGGATCATTGGGACAGTGAATTTCATTCCTGGAACTGAAATCCCAGGCTCCCCTTCTGATCAAATATGGGGCAAAGTTAATCCCTGGAATAACTGCATTGGCTGTATATAGATTGAGTTACCTGAAGGCAGCTGAGATGCTGGGAATGAGAAGGGAGCAGATGTGAGAAGGCAGCTATTCCTTTGACTTCATGAGTGACCCCGGGTGATCAATCCTACATCTCCATGTTAAGAAGCAGGTAGGACTGAGGATACTTATGCTTTCCCTTCCACAGGACAGCAGCATTCAGCCTTCCAGACTGCTTGCTTGCTAGTGGAGGACTCTTGTTCTCCAAACTGTCTGATGGTCCCAGCAAAATACCAGATCTGCTTGGGATATTCCTGACAGCCTCATGGCTTGACAATGTCAGAAAGGGGAAGGATCCTTTAAAATGTAGTCAAACTTAAAAACAAATCACTCCCTACAGTTTCACACTAGCTAATGGCTGCCCTTGGGATCCACATGTCTGAGCTCCATGCCATTCAAATGTGCACTTAATGTTGGCTGCTGCTATTTGCATATGTTAATGAGACTATTCACACAGCCTAATGAAGGGTTAAATTAGCTGTTGGTGTAAGTGGATGCCCCTCTATTGAGAATCAGAGACTCCTAGAGCAGTGGGGCTGGAATGGACCTCAGGAATCTACCCCACCTCCAGGCAGGATCATCCCTGTCTGAGCCCTCCTCTGACAGGTGTCTTTCCTTAAAGCCTTTGGAAACACCCCTCTCACACAATGCTGAAAACATCAAAGACAGTCTTTAACTTGCCACAGGTGAAGCAGGGGAGCAAGGGCACTGCCAGTGTCCTGCCACTGTAAGTGGTTTGTTCAAATATGCTCAAGTATTTCAACTGGGGCCGCCAAGGCTATTTCAGGTGGTGTGAAATGAGCTCAAGCGATTGCAGCATGCTTAGCCTGCATCCAGAGCCAGGGGGCCTCCTCAACCTGATGGAGCTCTCTAGGGACTGCCACAGGTGTGAGGTGCAGGATGACAACAGAGCCCAACAGGTCAGCAAGACGGGCTCCCCTTCCTCTCCCACCCAGCGCCCCTTTAGGAAGTGCGGGCCCCACACCCTTGCTCCCAGAGCCCTGACCATCACTGACATTTTCCCTCCCTCCTCTCCAACCCCTGAATCTCACTGCAAGCCAACCCCACCCCTCCTTTTCCAATTTCCTAGCATCTCTAAGAACCTAACTGCCCGTGAAGCATTTTCCTGTGTTCATTCCCCCCTCCCCCCAAACCTTAGAGAGTGTGAGGGGAGGCATGGGCACGTCTTAGCCCCTGAACTAGCACTTCTCCTGCCACCCTACCTGGGGCTCCAAAATTTTCACTCCAGCCCCACTCCTTTCCTAGAAATAGCATGTGCCCTTCCTTCCTTCCTTTCTTCCTCTGCATCCCTGCTTTCCTCACCCCCTCCCAGCCTGTCTGGCTTTCTCTCCCTCCGAGTACACGTTTGACATTGTTCCCTTCCTGCCTCCCCCTTCCATTCCTAGCCCCCCCCCCGCTTTGCTTTGGCTGGGGATGGCTTAGGCACCCCCTGCCAGGGACTCCCGTCCCCAACTGCGGCGCAGGGCGAGCAGAGGGAGGGCTGGGGGAGGCAGAGCGAGGGCGGGCGGCACAGCGCGCACACACGCACGCACACCTCCCTGCATGTGATTAAATGTCTTGAAATCTGCTTCTGATTTCCTCGGGGAGTTGACTTTTCCCTTCTTTTCAACCCCTGGATTTATTGAAACCTTTTTACTCCGCTTCAAGGCAGCAGCCGGGGCTCAGTTTCTCCACTCTTGCCTATTTTTTCCCCTCCCTCCCCCCCCTTTTTTTCCTCCCCTCCGTCCCTCCCAGCAGCAGACCTTGGGCAGCTCAGTGAGATGCAGGAGGGAGGAGGAGTGGAGCCGCTCGAGCAGCCCTGAGACTCGAGGATCGCGCGGAGGGCGGCAGTTACCTCCCGTGGGGGCTTGGGCAGAGGGTGGCTTATGCCAGTTTTTGCAAGCAGCGAGTCCAGCAGAAACGCCCCCGATTTTTTCCCCCGGTTCCTGTCTCCGTTAGAGGGGTTTGGGGCTCGGGGATTACCGCCCGCGGCATCGCTCCCGGCGCGGGCGTTACGGGAGGCTCTTGTACCTGCGCTCGTCACAGTAAGTTGCTTTCGACAACGTTTCTTATTGCGGAGATGTGGCGCCCTGCGGCCCGTGTCCCTGGTCCCTGCTCCCGGCAGCCGGGGCGCTCCGGGACTGGGGCCGGCCCGGGCCGCGGACACACGCCCTGCCCGGCGCCCGGTCCTGCCGGCTCCAAGTTAAATAGCGCTCGCTGGGCTTTTTATTTGCCTTTCCAGCTCTGTCTTTCGCTGCTCGCCTGTTTTCTTTCCTCTCCCTGTCGCCCCCCTTCCCTTTATTTCCTGTTTAATCTTTTCACAGCTTCGGCCGGATCCCAGCAGATGGAACTTTTTTAACAGTTTCCATTCGGCGGGATCCTGCGGGAGCCGCGGGGATGCACCGAGGCGGCGGCCGCCCTGCCCTGCCCTGCCCTGTCCTGCCCTGCCGGGCGCTTTGCCCTCGGCGGGGCTGCACTGACCCCCTGCCCCGGGCATGTGAATGCATG